CCCAGCCCAGCAGGTCTCCCCGCGGGTCCCCGAAGGGCTCAGCAGCTGCTTGTCCACACTGTAACATGCTGGGATGTTCACAGTGGGCAAAGTCATTCTCTTTCCAAGGAAAACATCTTTTTTCCCTCTTTGATTATTTTTTCCTAAATATTCCCATTTCTCAATGACAGTCACATCTCTCCTATTTTCTTTCCCTCTTGCCGTTCCTCCTCTTTTCCCTCCTCTTTTCCCATAGCAAAAGAAAAACAGTATCCGCTGTATGAAGAATTTTCTGTTTGTTTCTTGTCACCAGCACAAAAAATAACATGCTTTCCCCAAACGAGCCAGCCCTGCCTCCTTCCCAGCCTCCCTGCATCCCGCTCCATCGCTCCTCCTAACATCACGTCTTCTGCCATCTCTTTGCCTACTCTTGCCCATCCATCCCTGCTTCTCTCCTCTCCACCTCCCTGTACCCCACCTTCAGTGTCTGAAAACCCCCTTAACTTCTAAAAAATTGATGCGAAGCGTGCAGAGGCCAGTGGCATGGAGGGTGCTCTGGATGACGAAGTTAAAGGGATAATGAAACGCAGAGGTGAGGATGGTTTCGGTTTTTCCCCATCAGGGTAGAGCTGCTTTGCTCGAACAAGGGCTTCCAGCTCCTGACACCCCACGGGTGGGCTGGAGCCAGGAGTGGGGTCTGGCACGCGGCAAATCCACCTTCATTCTCCAGCTCTCATCCTGTCATGGGAATTTCTGGGCTGATTTAAACTCACTCTGACTCGGTATTCATCTGCATAATGGGAGCAGCAGCCTCCTCCCTTGCAGAGGCACTGGGAGGCTTAATTCAATCTAGGGATAATATTGGGACATCCCAGGACAAGAGACACACCAACGGGGACAGGAACCTCCACCTGTATTTTTCTTACTCAGTTCTGAGCTGTAAAGGAAAATACCAATCCCCATTGCTCTCAGTGAGGCTTTTCAGCAGCTCGAGATTTTTTTCAGGAGGATGCCTTAAAAAAATCCCAAGGCTCAAGCTGCTTTTTTAAAGGAAAAAGTCTGACCAACGTCTAAATATTTTACCTTGAATTGCTTGTCATTTGCCACTGTGTTCAAACCAAAAGACATGGCAGCCAAGGCAGGAAACAGCCGCGTACGCAAAAACCGGTACAAACTACAGCAAAGAGCAGCAGCGAGGAGAGAGGCTCCCGGCTCCGGCATTTGCATGAGCAACGTCGGTCCTGGAACAAAGACAAAACCTCCGCACGCCTCCTCCGCAGCGCTCCGGCAAGGCTCACTCCCAGACTGGCTTTCCATCACTAGCCATGTGGCAATAAATCCCCTCTTTTTTCGGAAGTGTTAGCAAACAAGCCCCTTTCTTGATTTGGAGGCTCCCTGCTGCAAACACCCACCCGAAGGTGGTTGACTTTTGGGGAGGGTTGTAGCACGTTGTGTACCCTGCACCGTCACGCAGCGATGCCTGAACCACGGCTGCCTTCACGGGGCCACTACCGAGTGGGCTACGGCTCGACAGGCACGTGGGCAGGAGGTATTAACCATAGCACTCTAAAAATCTGCTCTGTCTCCAGGATTTTATCGTGGTCTCACATGCATGCGCTACTCCCAGTACTGCTAACGGGATTTATGGGATGAATGATGCCGGCATGGGTTGGTGGCGGAGTAAGGGGAGACTTGATTTGTGCATCCAAAAAAAAAAAAGGGGGGGTTAGAAGGTGTTACCTTGCAGTGGGAGAACTCTGACGGCACGGAAAAAAGGTTTTGACAGGAGGGGAAGGCAGGATTTAATTTTGACCTAAAATTGCAACACAGTTCGCTCCCTGATCTACCTCCTCTGCTGCTGGGACCTCTGAAGATGTATTACAGCTCCAAGGGTTTCTGCTCAAAACTAAACAGTTTCAATTCACTATCGGCTGGAAAATTCAGGGTTCACTGGATTTTTTATTTTCGTGGTAAGGGGCAAACAAATCTTAATCTCTCTATTCTATGTTTACAGCCCACTAAGCCCCCTTCTTATCTTCTCTGGCTCAGTCCTGATTTATTGTCACGATGCTGCATTTGTAAAACAGTACCATAAAGTAAGAAAGAGAACATTTCCCAAGGACTACTCCAAAATAAATTATTTCAGACGTACAGAAGCTGCTTAATAAATCCCACCATTCTTGTTTCTTTAGGTATTTTAGAAAGTGATTTATAAGTGCAATATCACCTCTCAAAAATGAGACAATCAACACAGGATAAAATTATCGTGTTATGAAAATAGGGGTCAGGCAAAGGGGCTGTGCTTTAAATTAAACCAGGGAAAAATATTTCATCTGAAATTGACTCTTTTTGTCTCAGAAATGAATGTTTTAATCACCTAAGAACCTAAAAGCGAACGCAGATGCCTAAGTAATATTTAATTCCATAGAAATATGCCTTTGTTCAATATTGATGGGCAGAACATGATATTTTTCTTAAACGCACTAACAATGAAACTTGGAGACGCATCAAGACTTTAGAAAGCCTTGGGATTTTCCTAGACTAAGAGATAATATCCCATTTAAATATTTAAATATCACTACCTTTCAGACTGCTATCTATTCAAGCAATCAACACCAAATGTTCTCCAGCTAGCGCAGTGGCAGACTCCCAGGCATGCTATTTAAGTAAAATTAACTCTGTTTGATATCGATGCCGTCCAACGGCACCCATGAAAATCAATGATCTTAGAGAGAAACAATGTAGAAAACTAACCATAGGGCTAAATCTGCTAAAGAGCAAAACGTTATTCAACAGCAACAGTATTAATTCAATACCACTGTCAAAATCAAGTCACAACCTTTCCTCGGTGCTGCTGATACAGAAGCGTCGTGAGGTCTAATTAGCCCTGAAGTTTCTTCCTAGAGCTGCACTTCACTTCGTTATCCCTGCCTTATTTATTCCCACAGAAGAGTCATTTGAAACTTCGCAAGGTATCCCCTTGCCGTGGTGTGAGCCAAGAGGCAATTTGAGTTTGCAAGTCCACGGAGGGATCTTGTTCCCCTTGAAATCAATAGGACAGCTTTCCCTTCGTGGAGCATCCGTGCTGCTCCTCCTGATGCCACTGGGGCCACGCTGGCAGCAGGACGCAGGGGTGATGGGCTGGGGGCTTTTCCCAGCAGGAGAAAGGACACGGGGTGTAGGGGCTGTGACCTAGGGGCTTTGGCTGGTCACCTTCACATGGGGGATGGAGCACATGCACTTTGCTCGGTTCGGTGAGGACGCACATGGAGGGGAACAACCTCGAGTGGTTAATAAGGCTCAGGAAGACACCAAACTGGGAACATAAAGTTGCGACCATGAGCATGGCCACGTAGGTGACCGCAGCCTCTGCCACCGCACCCCAACCTTGGTGGGCAGCAGCACAGCAAGGCTGGGCTGTGTCATCAGCTCTTCCCAACCCCCCAACACAAACATCTCATCGTTAACATCCTTCTACGTTCAATTGACTCCTAACTCGAAACAGAGAACGGCTTTAACGAAAGGTAGTAAGAGAGGAAAGTCACTGACCGTGGGTAGCTGGCTGGAGAGAAGATGCCCATCCTGACTCAACATGTTGGAGACCATGATGGCCGGCAGGTCCATGTTCTGGTAGGGGTACGCTGGTATCAGGCTGTTCGGAGGGAGGCTGTGGCACAGGGAGTGATATCCAGTTTCGTGGTCCACCAAGTGCAGGAGGGAAGGGTCGGGGAGATTAGGAGGCGTTATGGGAGGAATCTCATAGTCTTCGTTATTCTCATTCTGGCCGTTATACGTCTAAAACATGAAAAAGACATTTTGCAATGTGTCACTGCCTTGTTGCTTCAGCAAAGAAAAGCAGTTATTTGTGTAAGAAATACAAAAGCACATTCCAGTGAAAATGGTTTTGTTTTAACAAAAAAGACATCTCTAGTCCCAGATACCAGCAGGTTGTAACCAGGTAGGAGCCAGGTAGTGAGCGTGGCAGCACTGCATCGTCCATCAGGGACACCACGGGTCCTTGCATCCCCACTGCTCCCCTCTCCCCCGCTGCATCCCTCTAGCACGTCTTTAGCTCACCAAAACCTCAGCCACACTTTTAAGTCAAAGTCCCTCTCTGGGCACCCAGCTCAGCTCTTACACTTTGTATTTTCAAAAGTTTTTATGACAATTAGCTCCATAGAAAAAACTAGCGCTTGGGAACAAAACTCCCCTTGATTCCTCACAAACTCCAGCACAGAAGCTACAACCAGGGAGGGAGATTCGGAAACACAGCCGTCACTTTTTTTAAAATCCTTTAAGAAAGCCTGCATGACTCCACCACACATGGAGATTTGTCCTTCCTTATATCCTCATCCAAATTTCATTTGGACAAGCGTTCCCCCACTTCCCTACCAATGCTCCCTCGAGGTGACCACAAACATGCCGAGATGTTGGAACTCCTTATGCTTCCCGTGTTTTTTGGTGGCTTGTTTACTTCTAAGTGTTCCAATTTATATGGAGAAAGAATATGTTATTGCACCTGTGCAATCGTTTTCACTTCAGACGAAACCATATTTGCTTCATAATGTAAGTGTGAATCTATCCAAAATTATTATCAACGCAGAATATAATGAGTCTCTGGCAGGGAGGCTTATTCTAAACATCTACTGTTTCACATATTATTGTAGCATATGAAATTCTGATTAGCCGTACTATTATACACATGGATTTTAAGCTAAATTTCCCACATCACCTAGTTTCATGGTTGGATTTTGACTTAATACTTGATTTAAGAGCAAAACCCCAGATGTGTGCAAAACCGGTTAAGCACCGTAGGCTTTATTAATCCATTGCCCCAGAGCTCACACTCGGATTCATGCTCTTCATCACCCCAGACTGCAGGGAGAAAACCCTTAATAAAATAAAATAAAATCCGCATTTAACTGGAAAACAGAAGTCAGTGGGAGAGGCAGCAGGGAGCAAGGAGGTATCTGTGGATGGGAGGAAGGGCTGGCAGGGGGAACGCTCCGGCACTGCCTGGGAGAGAGGCATCCCTGTGGGGTGTCAGAGCAGGGATCACTCCTGCCTCACCCCAAAACTCAGGCTGGAAGCCGCTCATCCTCTGCTAAGCTGAACCCCGAACCGTCATCTCCCTTTGTCCCGTTGCAAAAAGAGACAGAGAAAAGAGCAGGAGCTGTACATCCCACCCGACCCTCCACGTTCGCCTGAGGTTCCCACTGCCTGTGGGGAAATATGAGTATGCAAGAAATACAAGACAGAGCCTGGGCTAAGGTAGCTCTATACCAACAGTTATTGTTCGGGGGAAATTCAAGCCCAGCTATTTTTCCAGCCAGCTTCTGTCTAGCAGTGGTATTGTACGGGGAAGGCAGGGGGCTGAGAGGATGCACACAACAGCAGACAGATAGATCCTCTTTAATACGTCTGGTAGTTAGGTTTCCTTTTGGGCTACGCTCTTCGAGGTACACCGATTCTTTCCCAGTTATTTAAGAGGATTTTACTCCATGCTTTAAGGAAAGGGATTTAAATAAATCATTGCACAGCAAACTTGTTCCTCCGACTGGTTTATTTTGGTATCAGGTATATAAGCAAGTGGCTTTGCTGTACTTAACTAAATTATGTAAAACCCACTCAAAGTTTCCTAAAGCTCTCTTCAAAACTACAAGTTCCTTGTGTTGCTGCAGAGCAGCTCACCGAAGGGCTTTGAGGCGGTTTTGTAAGGAGCGTGAAAGCCCCGTCACCCTGCTCACCCCCCCCCCCCCCTTT